TTGGACGATGTGATAGTGTTCAGTAGATCTTTGTCTGAGCATTGGTCCAGGCTTCGAGAGGTGTTCCAGCGACTGCGAGCGGCTCATCTCAAGCTCAAGCCACGTAAGTGTTACATCGCACAACGCGAGGTGGGGTACCTCGGGCATCGCGTCAGCGAGGCAGGCGTGCACACTGATCCGGAGAAGGTACGCGCCGTAGTGGAGTGGCGACGGCCAAGGAATCTGACGGAGATCAGATCATTTTTGGGGCTCGCCACCTATTATCGTCGATTTGTAAAGGGATTCAGCGAGATTGCACGCCCTCTAACCCAACTCACCTCCCCTAAGCACCCCTACCAGTGGACGGGGACCTGCCAGACGGCCTTCACCACTCTCAAAGATCACCTCACCCATGCCCCCACCCTCGCTTTCCCCGATTTTACCACCGATTTTATTTTGGACACCGACGCCTGCAGCAGCGGGCTGGGCGCGGTGTTGTCACAGGTACAGGATGGGACGGAACGAGTCATCGCGTACGCCAGCCGGACCTTGAGTGGGGCCGAGCTGAACTATTGCGTGACCCGCCAAGAGTTGTACGCCGTGATTTTCGCATGCAAACAGTTCCGGCCGTATTTGTACGGCAGGAGATGTCGCGTACGCACTGACCATTATGCTCTGCAGTTTCTTCTTACATTCAAGGAGCCGCGGGGGCAGATGGCCCGGTGGTTGGCGCAGTTGCAGGAGTACAACCTGCAAATCGAGTATCGGGCTGGCCGGACGCATGCAAACGCGGACGCCTTGTCGAGGCGACCCACGGTGTACGCCGAGACGAGGGCGGAGGAGGCCTGCCCGTGTTTCACGGGGGGACGCTGCCGGCAGGCAACGGACCCCCGAGAGGCCGCGGCCACTGACCCCTCCCCAGCGAGAGAGAGTGCAGTGTGTGCCACAGAGACCCTCACAGGTGGCACTGAGGATCCCGTCGACCGCCCGGCAAGCGCGGGACCCGCGGCTCGGGACCCAATCGGACGGATCCAGGAGGACGTCGGCTGCGCCTTCCCGGGCCTAAACGACGAGCAGCTGAGACAGACCCAGCAGCGAGATCCGGATCTGGCGGCAGTGGAGGCGGCGCTGCGGGAGGAAAAGAGCGCCCTACCAGGACCCTGGAGCGGTTTGTATGCCCGGTTGTGTGTAGAAAACGGGGTGGTGAGGGAACTGGCCGACGCTGGGCAGCCGGGGTGCATCTGCGTTCCCGCCCATGTGCGACCCCAACTACTACAACTGGTACACGACCACCCGCTCGGGGGCCATGATGGGGAACGGCGCACCCGGGAGACTCTGCGTCGCCAGTATCTCTGGCCTAAATTGGCGCAAGATGTGGCCGCCTGGGTGCAGGGCTGCTGGGCCTGTCAGCAGTGTGGGCAAAAGCCGGCGAGGTACCAGGTACCCCTGAGGCCGTTCCGAGTCAGTCGGACGAATCAGTTGGTCGGAATCGACCTGCAGGGGCCCTTTCCACGATCCCACCGGGGCAACCGATATATTCTCGTAGCGGTGGAGTACTTCACCCGCTACCCCGTGGCGGTGGCTATCCCGGATAAAACAGCCCTCGTAGTGGCCCGGGCCTTCGTGGAAAACTACGTACTTAAGTGCGGGATCCCCGAACGAGTCATTACCGACCAGGGTAGTGAATTCGAGGCCGAACTATTCCAGGCGCTGTGCCGAGAGTTCGGGATCCAGAAGGACCGAACCACGGCGTATCACCCCCAGGCGAACGGGATGGTAGAGAGGATGAACCAGACTCTGGCCGGGAAGCTTAAACGCATGGCGGCCGCGAATCAACAGGACTGGGACGAACACCTCTCCTATTCCCTGTTCGCCTACACCACCGCCGTTCACACATCTACAGGACAGACCCCGTTCCTAATGATGTTTGGTCGCGAGTCTCGCCTGCCCGCAGATCTGCTGTTCGGTGTCCCTCTGCCGCAACGGGAGGAAGGGAGCCACCCCGTGGAGCACTTGCTGGAGACCCTGCGAGGGGCCAGGGGCCGAGCCTACCCGCACGGAGAGGCCGCGCACCAGCGGCAAGAGCAGGGCGCCCGACCCCGTATGGAGCCCCCCTTCTACACTGCGGGCTCCGAGGTGTGGCTGTACACTCCCCGCGTCGGTGCCGGACAGGTGGGGAAGCTGACCACCTACTGGCGAGGACCCTGGATTGTGAGACGGCAGATCTCACCATGGACGGTGCTGATTCAGGGAGGAGAGAGGGGCCGGGAGATGGTGGTCAACATCCGCCGACTGAAGCCGTGGCGAGCAGCCCCCGAGGGGGGGAGCCCCGCCGTCCAAGTACCCCGAAACCCCGGGGTCCCCCCACCCCCCGTGCCCGGGGGCCTCGCGCAGTATATGGGCCCCCTGGAGCCCCGGGCTCCAAGGGGCCCCGGGCGGGGCCGGGGGCGACGAGGACGGCGACCCTTAAACCCCACCGCCTCTGAGTTTGTTCCCCAGCCCGCAGGTGCCAGAGGCCGAGGGTAGCCATTGGAATGGAGGAGGAGACCACCGCCGGAGCCCCAGGAGACGGAGCCAGCCACCCCCGAGGCCAGCCACAAGGGCCGGGCGAATCCCGCGGACCCCGCGGCGATACCTCGTGGGGGCAACCCAGGCGAGGTGCTCCAGTCAACCCGGGACGGGGACTGGCACCCCGGGGGGCTATGTGGTGCCACAACGACGGGGCTGCTCTGCCGAGCCAGGGAGCCGCCCGGCTTCCACCACTGCACTGCCCCCCATCACCCCCCCCACATAAGCACGCACCCGCACCCACGTAGGGCCTTGTGGTCGGGTCACCTACCCTGAGTTTTCACCCGAGGGCCCCCTCGGGGGGTTACCCCACGGTTTCTCAGGGCCAGGGAATTGGACAGGACCCTTCCCAGGCTAAGTAACACTGCGGCGCCGTGGGCGGATTTGAGATCGCACGACCACGGCGAGCTCAGAGAGCCCCGCAGTTAGAAACGCATACAAACACAAACACGGGTCAGCAAGGCAGATAGCTAGGATCAGGACCCGGGGCTGCTGATTGGTCAAAAGGTCAAAGGCCGGCGGGATCGCAAAAGGGCGGGAAATCCTAGGCTCAGGATTGGTCGAGAGACCAAGGCGGTCGGGACGGGGGCGCCTAGCCTTTGATGTGGATAGTTTAAAAGAAAACGCAGGGGCAGTAGGGAGTTCTCTTCTTCTGGAGTAGTGACACGGGGTCAACGACGAGGGAGTCATCGGGCGAGCCGCAGGATCGTCTGCAGGACGACCTGAGCGCCGCAAGGTCACCTAGGACTACAGACGGTATCGTATTACGCGCCTTACAACACCTCAGAGCGGAGAGTAGGATCCATAGGAGAGGGTTAGTTCGGGGTAAGGACGAGTAGGAAAGCGGTTTAACAGAGAGCGCAGCATAGAATAGGGCTGTACGCCACTAGAGAGTGGGTTAGAAGCGCCTTGCTGGCCCGCACACACACACGGGTGGCTCGGTGGGTTAACAAGGGCTAATAAAATCTCGAGCGTAGTAACAAAACCGTGTTGTTGGGTGTTTTGAACGTGGTATTAGCGTGCACTGCATTCGCGGGTGTGTGGTCGTTGTATGCGTAAAGGCCGTGGTCTCTGTACGATTGTGCGGGGACGGAGGTGTGTGTGTTAACGCCCGGGGAGAGCACTTTTGTGTGTTGGCGTGTGCCCCGCTTGCGTGTGCTCGTTACGTGCAGTAAAGTTGTGGCGCGGTGGTGGGTCCCTGACCCCCAGCCCCGCGGCTCGAGCGCGTAATCGGCTGCGCATTGTTGTACGGTTTATCTCGCGCGCACGGCGGCGGCAACTTGCGTCGTTGTGTCGGCGTGTGCCCCGCTTGCGTGTGCTCGTTACGTGCGTAAAGTGCGGCGTGGTGGTGGGTCCCTGACCCCCAGCCCCGCGGCTCGAGCGCGTAATCGGCTGCGCATTGTTGTACGGTTTATCTCGCGCACACGGCGGCGGCAACTTGAGTCGTTGTGTCGGCGCGTGCCCCGCTTGCGTGTGCTCGTTACGTGCGTAAAGTGCGGCGTGGTGGTGGGTCCCTGACCCCCAGCCCCGCGGCTCGAGCGCGTAATCGGCTGCGCATTGTTGTACGGTTTATCTCGCGCGCACGGCGGCGGCAACTTGAGTCGTTGTGTCGGCGCGTGCCCCGCTTGCGTGTGCTCGTGTGATCCCGTGTTATAAGTATGAACGCGTGTGGTACGGTGTATGCGTAAGCTCTCGTCGTGCGAAATCGGCGTACCCCAGGTGCGCGATCGTAACGTGAGCGGCCAGCGCGGCGCAGAGTGGCGCAAGAGTGAGTGCCGTGCAGAGCTGTGTGTGTGGGTGTGCGCGTACGTAATTAACCATGCCTGCTACGCGGACCCGCGGTGGAGGGGAATCCTCGGGCGACGGCTCCCACACCATGGGTGAGGAACTTAGCAGCGGTTCCCTTAGCAGCGGGGGGGCGATTGATGATGTTAGCCCGGCCGTTAGCGTTATCGAGGGAGGGATCTCGGGGGCTAGCGACCCCCACATCACATTATAACTTATTGCGGCGGGCGCGGCAGCCTGAAACTACTGCACAAATCTACACCTCAACCTAAAAGTTTATATATCCCGCCACACACAGCCTACATGCCATGTAATTACATGTTGGTATGTGATTAAACGGGGGGGGGGGCGCCAATTTTTTAGTTTGTCCCCGGGCGCAAAATATCGTAGCTACAACACTGATCTCCCATCACCCATCACCCCCCATCCCTCATCGTGCTCCCTCCATCACCCATCACCCCCCCCCATCCCTCATCGTGCTCCTTCCATCACCCATCCCCCCCCCCCCCATCACTCATCGTGCTCCCTCCATCACCCATCTCCCATCACCCCCCACCCCCATCCCTCATCGTGCTCCCTCCATCACCCATCACTCATCGTGCTCCCTCCATCACTCATGGCCCATCACCCCCCCCCCATCACCCCCCCCATCACCCCCCCCCCATCACCTGGTCCCCCGCGCGCAGCGGGAGCAGTGCGGTGGCGGCCGCCTGGTCCACGTCCCCCGGCTGGAACTGGTCGTAGGTAAAGATCATCCCGCGGCCATTCTGGTAGAGACCCACCTGGGGGAGACAGAGTACACACACAGAGTACACAGGGAGTACACACAGAGGACACGGAGAGTACACAGAGTACACACACAGAGTACACACAGAGTACACAGAGAGCACACAGAGAGTACATGGGGAGTACACACAGAGAGTACACAGAGAGTACACACAGAGAGCACACAGAGAGCACACAGAGTACACAGAGAGTACACAGAGTACACACAGAGAGCACACAGAGAGTACACAGAGTACACACAGAGAGCACACAGAGAGTACACAGAGTACACACAGAGAGCACACAGAGAGTACACAGAGTACACACAGAGAGTACACAGAGAGTACACAGAGAGCACACAGAGAGTACACAGAGTACACACAGAGAGTACACAGAGAGCACGCAGAGAGCACACAGAGAGTACACAGAGTACACACAGAGAGTACGCAGAGTACACACAGAGAATACACAGAGAGTACACAGAGAGCACACAGAGAGCACACAGAGAGTGGTGAGTGTGGTGAGTGAGGTGTGAGTGTGGTGAGTGTGGTGAGTGTTGAGTGTGGTGAGTGTGGTGAGGTGTGAGTGTGGTGAGTGTGGTGAGTGTGGTGAGTGTTGACTACCTTCACGTGGCTGGTGTACACGGTGAGTGTGGTGAGTGAGTGTGGCGAGTGTGGTGAGTGAGTGTGGTGAGTGTGGTGAGGGTGGTGAGTGTTGACTACCTTCACGTGGCTGGTGTACAAGGTGAGTGTGAGTGTGGTGAGTGCGGTGAGTGTGGTTAGTGTGGTGATGTGCGTGGTGAGTGTGGTGAGGTGAGCGTGGTGAGTGTTGACTACCTTCACGTGGCTGGTGTACACGGTGAGTGTGGTGAGTGTGGTGAGTGTGGTGATGTGAGTGGTGAGTGTTGAGTACCTTCACGTGGCTGGTGTACACGGTGAGGTGTGAGTGTGGTGAGTGTGGTGAGTGTTAAAGGGTGACTACCTTCACGTGGCTGGTGTACACGGTGAGGTGGTACGAGAAGAGGTAGAGTCCGGGGCTCACGCACGTGAACTTGCCGCTCTCCGGGTCGAAGTGTGGGGGGCTGTTGTACAGCACCTTGGTGAAAGAGATGGGGGTCCCGGGAAGGGGGGCCCGCGCCCCCAGCCCCGCAGAGAACGCCGAGCGCGGGGGGGGGCCGGGGGTCAGCAGTGAGGAGGAGCTCTGGGGGTGCCCGGGGAAGCCCCGGGCGGACACGCCGGGGTTGCCAGAGGATCCCGGGGGGCCCGGGGGACCGGCGGGACCCTGCACCCCTGTGGAGGGAGGGGGGGAGACACAGGGGGTTGTACGGTGTTAGGGGTCGTGTACGGTGTGCGACGGGGGCGTGGGGAGCGGTAGTGGTAGCGGTGAGCACGAACGTTCACTGTGGAGGAGAGGCTGCCGCTCCTCTGTCGGGAGCTGGACCGGTACCGCCTGGATCTCTGCGGTATTCAGCAGGTTCGTTGGACTGGCTATGGCTCCTGTCACCATGAGGGGTGGACAGTCCTCTACTCGGGGCAGGAGACTGTCAAATAACAGGGAGTGGCTCTTCTTCTGAACAAAAGATGAAGGGGGCATGGCAGCGTGGCGGTGAGGTGTTGGAATCTGTAAGCCCCAGACTACTGTGGGATCGCCTCCCCATCAACCATGGGCGAGGAGTGGTGATGGTGGTTGCTTAAGCTCCCACCGATGATGAACATCAGTGGAGGGATGCAGCCCAAGGCCGATTAGTCAGATGCCTTCAATGACCTACTGTCACAGGTGATACATTAAAGTGGCCTCCCGGGATAGCATGATCCTGTTGTGTGACTTTAATGCCCGAGTGGGTCACGATGATGGCACCTGGGTTGGAGTGATTGGAAGGCATGGGCCAGATCAGCTCAATAACAACGCTAGAAGGCTGATAGACTTATGTGCAGCCAATGGGCTTGTAACCACCAACACGCTGTTCCGTCATCGGCGCATGGTGTGTGGTTGTGGGTTTGAATAGGACCCCATTCAAACCTTCAGTGGCCTGGTCTCAGCTAGCTGATGACAGTTGCAAGTGAAAACTTCATCACCACTTGCAGCTGGGGTTGGCATCGCCCCCTCCCCTTCTCCTGATGCCGAGGGGAAATGGGCAAGGTTTAGGACTGTGGCTCATGCAGCTGCAATGGCTGCTTTGGGTACACGGTCCAGACCTCCCCAGAGACCCTGGCTAATGGAGGAGGTGTTCTGGCTGGTTGAGAAAAAGCAACAGGCCCACTCCCACCATCTCCAGCATCCCACGTCAGAGAATGAGGAGGCTTACCGCAAGCCTTAGCTTGGAGATTTCGAGAGCCATGCAGTGCTGCAAAGATGAGTGGTGGTCGCGGGTTGCTGAGGATATGGAGTCTGCCTCAGTAGCCGGCGATCACAAATCACTCTTTAACTGTATCAAAAAAGTTACTTGCAGCGCCACACCCATCACCAACCTTAGGGGAAGAAAGGTGTTCTAATGTCCGACCCCCAGAAACATGTTTGCAGATTTGTTGAGCATTTCTGTCAGGTTCTAGGGGAGGGGAAATTCCTCAACCTGGAAAACATCATGGGGCAAAGTGGGGATGAACCTGCTGTGGTTGTGGTACCTCAAACATTGGAAGTAGTCACCCCCTGTGAGTGACTGGCTGAAGTGCCATCTGTTGAGGAAGTACTGAAGGTGATCCAGAGTCTGAGATCAAGAAAAGTGCTGGCGTTTGTGTGCAGATTGCCCTATATGACATCATAATAACTGTCTGAACCACTGGACAGTTACTGCAGGATTGGAAGGATACCCTGGTGGTCCCCCTCTTTCAGAAAGGGGACCGCACAGATTGTAACAACTACAGGGGCATCTCCATCCTCAGTGTGCCAAGATAGAGCCCGGCAAAGATTATTCAACATCGCCTTGCCAGGCACACTGAGGATATATATTCTTGGTTCTTTCAGTAAAGTCATGTGGATAGAAAATCTATATATATAAAATCGCAAATCTGTCTGTCTGTCTGTGTGTCGCCGGACCATACGCAGTTTCATTGGACGAAATGTGAGGGATTTGCGAGATGCGATTGGTCCGGCGGTTGCCCCTGGCAACGGGTAGCGACGCATTCGCTGCGGGGTGGACGTCATTTTTAATTCCCGTTAAAAATATGCACACGCATTAACACGCGACTCTGAGGTAAATTGATCAAAGTTTCACGTCCTCTTCACTCCCCCCCACCCCAATTTGTGCAATTACTATTATAGGGTCGGTAGATAATAAAATTATAGCGATTAGACAGTATTATTGTAGCGCGGGGGGGGGGGGGGGGACGGCACCCGTACCCAGCCTCAGCCGGGTGGGCAATCTAGGCGAGGCCAGAGGCTCTGCACGCTACTAGGCCTCGACACCCCACCACACTATAGGCCGTACATACTACTGCACAGCGGCCGAGGAGATCGTGGCTGGGGGGGGCAGGGGTAGCAGCCCATCTGTGTATATATGTAAGGTTATTAAGAAATATATTTTTCACCCGGGCAACGCCGGGTACTTATGCTAGTAAAAATAGAAAATGATAAAATAAAATAAAAAATTCAAATAATCAATTGTGCTTTCAGAATCTCTGACTCTCTGCTCACGATCATTAAGGACCTTCACGATGGTGGCCAGGCCCGAGTAAAGCTACGTGGCCAGGAGTCGGAGCCATTCCCTGTTGACCTTGGGGTGCGACAGGGATTTCCTATGGCTCCCACATTATTTCACATCTTTCGACCACGTAGTGCGATAAGCCTCCCATGGCTGTACCGGAGGAATCTCCATCTGGTACAGATACAATGGGGGGCTGACCGGTGCCCGGGTACGGTCGAGGGATGGCTCCCTATTGGTCAATCATGTTACGTATGCTGATGATCTGGTGAGTGCTACTCACTCAGAGGAGTAAGGAGTTGGAGGCGCTGCTGTTCGACCAGGAGCTTGTTACTAGGAGGTGGGGTCTTACCATCAGCCCCACCAAGACTAAGCAACTGCCTCGGTATTTTGTGCCATCAAACACTCCACCCCCTCAGCTCACCATTGGTGATGGGGCAGTTGTGGAGAAAGTTGGGAGTTTTCCATAACTGGGCAGTGTGCGTATGACCACTTCCGGTTTGATAGCAGAGGTTTCACTCCGAATCTTTTAATCGGCTGTGTAACACGATGGATGGAAGCTAACTGGTCTGTCGCTCCACACGAAGCTTCGGGTCTTCTCGGCCACGGTCATGCCCTCCCTTCTCTACGCTTGCGAAACGTGGATCCCCCTAATGGGACATCTTCGCAGGTTAGAAACATTCAGGCTTGCCTGTCTGCGATCCATCCTGGGTTTAACCAGGCCGGATTGTGTGAGGAGGTCACAGCCACCGCATGCCTAAACAGCTTTTGTTCGGCCGGATCGAGGGGGCTAAACGGGCGCGGCACGGGCTAGAGAAGAGATGGAGTGATGTGGTACAGGAGGACATGGAGCTGAGTGGACTTGCCGATGACTGGTACCAGCGGTGTCAAGAACGGCCTCAGTGGAGGAGGCTCGTGAAGGACGCAAATGGGCAGTTGGAGGCAGTCGCCCTCCAACAACAACGAGCGGAGCGCCGGGTGGCTAAAGCACAGCAAGTTGGCACAGTAGGGGCACAGGTGGTGGATCGGCCAGTCATCTCAATCAGTCAACCCATGGCACCTGCTGGGTCTGTCCCGTGACCTCCTGCCAGCGGGCGTTCGACACTGCACGTGGTCTTAAAGTGCACCTAGCCTGGCACAAGCGTCGTGGTGACGTCACCGCAACTTAGTGGCAAATGGCGGTTGTTGTGCGTGACGAGGTGTGTGTGACGAGGTAGTGTGTGTGCGTGTGACTGTGTGTGTGTTACCGGGCTCCCCTCGCTCCCCCGTCTGGCCGTCCCTCCCGTCCCTCCCGTCTCGCCCCGCGACTCCGTTGTGCCCCGGGACCCCCGGCACCCCCAGGCACGGGTAGTGGGGGGCCCCGTGCCCCTCCTTGGCGGGGGGCCCGTCCCCTACAGCGGGGGGGTCGACAGGGGGAGAGGCGTCCGGGACCTGGGGAGAGGGGGGGACACCTGAGCAACAACTAAGCAACCACCACACAACCACCACACAACCACTTTACAACTACCACCATGCCTAGTATCACCACCACCACCACCGCATTCATCACCACGACCACCAGCACAACCACCACCATGGCCTCTATCACCACCACCACCACCACAATCACCTCTACCAAAAGCACCACCATCATCATCGCCACCCCCACAACCGCCATCACCACCACCAATCGCCGTCACCAACACCGCCCATGACACACACATCTCGACGATTCGAGCCCATCTCAACTCGCACCTCCTCCGCCTCGTGCTGCACCTCCGCCTCGGGCTGCGCCTCCACGGGCGTGACCTCCTCGGTGCCCTCACTAACCTCATCCTGACCCCGGGTCACCGGGGTCAGAGAGGTC